GACAAGACTTAGAGTAAGAAAAACAGAAAGAAGAAAGTTTAAGACTCTCAGATCCCAGAGAGGTGCACTCAGACTCGCGCGAGAGGGCCTTGTTGTCTTCGAGCGCCTGAGGGCCCCACAATGATGGCCAAACAGCAATAGCTTGGCCATGACTGAAATCAAACTGTCGAGGTCAACCCCCTCACGACCTCCTATCTCACAACAATAAAACCCCTTTCACAAGCTTGACTGCTCCTTTGAGTCTCAACACCTCCCCTTAGAACAACCGCCTCCATACCGCAAGCTCACGGTTCAGGGTACACTGGCCACAACTCAGAACTCGGTCATGACTCGACCAACACAGTCCTTACTCGCGCTGAGGTAAGATAGTAGCGCAAGTTATCTTGGCCACGCAGTCAGCAATGCCGGACAGAGCGCATGCAAATGGTGACCGTGTGGACCGCCGCCGCAACTGGTACGTATCCAATCCGCAGCCGGAGCCACGCTACTTCATCCTGTAGGATGAGCAAGGTGCCATCCAAACTGATGGGTCTGCAATCCGGTGACTCCCCTTCTGGCTGCCCCATTCGATGGGAAGCGCAGCGCAGCAGTCCTCGCCTCTTGCTCTTCGCTACTCCGTACGACAGACTTAGCAGCGCAGCGACCAGCCGGTAAGTATGCAGCCTTGCTGCTCTGCTCCTTGCTACTCCGTACGTCAAGGTGGGTAAGATCCGAATGAGTCTACTGCTGAAACATGGAGTACACACTCCTTTCCCGCTTAGCTCTCCCGTTCGAACACGCCAGCCCCTAGGTAAGTCTTCAAACCTGCACCTCACTCTTCGCTTCAACGCCAGCGATAAGATGACCAACATACTGGCCAACAGGCAAGTATCCGACTCCACAACTGACTTCACGCTACTACCGTCAATCCGATTATGCAAGCTCAAATGAATCTTCCACTGAGATATGGGAGAGCTTCCTCGACAGATCTCTCTCATACCGCTACACTTAGTTCACCAGGTACGCACTCCCCCGCTCCTCCTTATCGTTTCCTCCCTTTCTATTCAGAGCAGGTACTTACTCGTTGCACCTGCAGTTATGAGGGCGAATTTGCCCTCCCATCACGGAAGGATGCATCCGCCAACTTATTAGCCCCGCAACTCAACTTTCGGCTCACTTCGTACCGCATGCAATCGTTGGTAAGTACCCTCTCTCTCTCTCTCTCTCTCTCTCTCTCTCTCTCTCTCTCTCTCTCTCTCTCTCTCTCTCTCTCTCTCTCTCTCTCTCGTAGTCGTACGTGTGCCCGTACCTGTTGATTGTGTTGGACAACGCTACCCAGTACTCAATAAGCCCACCCGCTGCTCCCTTATTGTCCCTACTAACCGAAGCTCATGACCGACTACCTACGGAAAGAAGGTAAGTATCTATCTTATGGCGAGGAGGTTCACCACGAGCGGGAAGATCACCACCGCCTCATTTGGGGCTGTCACTACATCGATGGTTTCAACGCCACTACCGTCTCAACAAGAGATAGTCATCGGGTGGAAGGCGTTGTTTGCTGAGGGTGTGACTCCCATTTCACTACCCGGCAAGTAAGCGGGAGCGAGAATGAATCTCCCGCTAGAATACGGTTAGATACATTGTCCGTAGTCGAGTCTGTCTCCTGGGCGGAACCTTCAGCGTCGTCCCCGGCCAAACCACCAACCCATCGTTAAAACTAACTACGACATCATGTTCGCACTGCCTCGAAACCTCAAGATCAGATCTTCTATCGCCCGTTTTTGTCAAGAGACGGGTGGGCTACGCGATTCCTACTCCTCCTATAGCTGGTTTCGAAAAACCTCCGCGCAGTCTATGCTCTCACTAACTCTTATTTTACTAACTTTCTAACCGAACTAACTACGGAATCGGGATCGCGATCCCCGAAAACCTCCGATTTGCATCCTTCCTCGCTCGAATCCATCGAGGATCGAGCGAGATTCGAAGTTTTCACTCCCATCTCCTTCCTTCTCCGCCATATCCCGCCGCACTAACTTTTCTGCCTAACTTCTATTCTGCTAATCTTTATCAAAGTTTGTCCTCACGAATCAATTCGCCCCGCTCCAAAACCCCTACTTACTATTCCCTTCCACTTGTTTTCACCAAATAACGGATAAGGAATGAGTTTATTCGCCCGCCATAACTTGCTCCGTTCATATTCAGTTTCGAATGCACCTGGCGCGATTTAGCGTCCAGGTTCGTTCCATTTTCGTTGTTGTCTCTATACTACCTCCGCGCAGTGTTTTTTCCAATCTAACATTCTTTTCACTAACCCAAAACCAAGATTACTCCTTCCATTGATTTCGCCTAGCCTAGAAACCCCCCTCTCAACACCTTTATCCGCTTGAATGTGACGAGAAATTAATGGGATGCGGGCTCTTCCCTCCGCCATGCCCGTCCCCCTCCCACCCTTCTGCTTCATATGTATCCGGCGCCGGTATACATCTAGATTCAATCTCTGCTATACTTAGCAGGCTGAGGTCTCGTTTGTTAACGGAAGTATCCTCACGAATCTCTCTGCCAACTGAGAGCGGCCATGCACCTCCCCCCCCCATGGAATCAAGAAAGAGCTCTCAAGCTGTCAATCCTTACTAGTCTCGTGCCCCCATCTCTGTCCTCCTCTTCGTCTTCTCCACCTCATCTCCTCCTCTTCGTTCCGCTCCCGATCAACTGCCAAACTATGCACTATCCCAGTCTCCCCAACGGCCTTCGGGAAGTCGGGTCCGCTATTACCAACTTCCCTGCCTGAGTCCGTCAACCCAAATAAACAAATGGCGTTGAGGTGCCCGACCTCACTACCCATTCTAACGCCCGTACGTCGCTCGACAGTAAGCGGTGCGGCCCGGCGTGCTCAACCAGTTTGGTTTTGGTTTTCTGCGAGAACTGCCGACGGAACCAGCTACTAGTTGGGTCAGTAAGTCTTTCGCCCCTACGTGCCTAGGACCGCTCGGCGGCCCGCTCCTCAGTATTGTCGCTGGCCCGTAACACAGTCTCTGCCTACTTACTCTGCTCAACCTCAACTCTCTTCGACCAGACCGCACCCCACAACGGTCCGCCCGACGGCCCTGTCTCAGCGTTCCACCCGTTGCTACGCAGCGCCGACCGTTCAGCCCCACTACCTGTCTACTTCTGCCCACGGCTGCCTGGTGCGCTATCTACTCGGCCCGCGGCTGCCCGGTATTGCTCGATCGGACCCACACCCGTCACTCACTGGTGCCCATAGGGGGAGGGGACCGGAGGGTAGGCACAGTGACTGGCCCATCGGAGAAGCCCGGCCCCAATGCTATCGACTGACCCCCCCCTTGGCTGGTGCCGCCCACCTACCGTAGCAGGCATCGCACCTGCTGGCTGGTGCCCCGCATGTCCCCTTATTGGAGGCTTGGGCACGAGCGTGGATGCTAAGGGTTCCTTTTGAATACAACACACCCCACACGAACCCTGGCCGCGCCGTGGTCCACAGCCACGGCGTGATGGAGGACTTTTGTCAGTACCCCGAACACGCGGACCCGTTAAACGGGACGCACACTCAAGGTCCTTGACTGCCATGGCGGCCACTAAGTCTGACGTCGCATCCAAGTCAACGGCACGCCGGAACATAAAAAAAAATTAATAAGAGTACGATGACGAGTAATAAAATATTTAAATACTTTTAATCGTCCAAATATGTCGAGGGAAAATAAAACGCTAGCACTGCCCCAACGCCGCAAAGGGCAAAGCCAAGGGGGATAGCCCCGCCAGACCCTCACCCCTCGCTCCGTTCACGCCACCCTGATCCCTGCGTCATCGCCGCTCGGTCTCGATTGCTGAATCTCCCTGGCGAAAGTCTTATACTGTAACCAATAGCGCTAGGCCCAAGGCTGGGTCTAGCTCTGACAGAAGCCTAAATAAACGGATACCGCGCGACGCACCAATCTATCGAAACGTTTTAACCCCACACATCGGCTTATCGACCGAACTGTCGGCCGCCAACCTCCGCGCTCACCGCGCGACTATACCGAATCATGCCGCTGTCGACGTCGTCCTCCGTATGTATGTGCTAGTCACAGGTAAATGCATCAATCAAAGAACAACACCTTTTTAACCCTAGTTTAATCAGAAACAAATAAAAAATTATGGTCGGCGATCACACCGACTCTTCAATCATCAACAATTAAAAAAGATCACGCGCGCCTCAGGTCTGCGCACCCACACACTCTTTATTCTAGTCAACCATCAGTCGCATAAACAACGGAGACTGCCGCGACTCGCGCGGTATATTTAAACTCTAAACTAAACTTATTTTCTGTTGCTTGCAAAAACCAGGGCGGATACCCTTGTAAGGGTATTCGCACCGACAACGCAGCTACTACCAGCCTACGAATTGACAATGCAACTGTTGATTTCAGCAACAGAACCAAAGTACATGACGATGCCGACCCTTTTAGACAATCGCCAAGACCAGGAGTGCATTGCACTCTCTCTCCTTTTCTGTGTTTGTCTGTCTGTCTGTCTCTGTCTGTCTATCCGTGTCTGTCTGTGTCTATCTGTGCATGTCTGTTTGTCTGTCTGTTTGCATGTTTGTCTGTCTACCTACCTGTCTGTCCCTCTCTCCTCTCTTTTTCACACACATACGCACACACGAATGCATGGTCGTGCCTTCCATCCTGCACATACTCTATGTCATCTCGCGGTGCCCGCTCACACATTCGCCAGTTCGTCCCCTATTTTCTACTACGTCTGTCGAAGATGGAGCTGATTCGGAAGAAAAGGCGGATGTAGACAAGATGGGGGTGGGGGTAAGGTCAGCGGAAAGGAGAGCAAGTCAGTGTCTCACTGTTCCCCCACCCTGAAGATCGGCCATTCATGCGTCAATGACCCTTCTGCTGGTTCACCTACGGTAACCTTATTGTGACTTCTCCTACCTTCAAATGACAAGGTTCAATGAACTCCTTGCAGAACTCCCCCCCCAGCGGCAACCTCCAAAATCACCGTGGTCTAGACACTTTCCCCGAACCATTTTATCGGTAGGAGAGACGGGTGGTGTGTACAAAGGGGCAGGGACATAATCGGTGTCAGCCGATGACCCAACTGCAAGGAATATCAGTAGGAACGATACACTGAAAGCCAAGTTGCGACATCGCACAAATGTCCAAGTAGTCGTGTTCAAGCAGAGAGCACAATACATCGAGTTTCCATTCAAAATAAGAACAATACAATGAACTTGTGACCCTATATTCTAGCCCTCAGACCACACCAATGCAGTACCCAATGCCGCTCTTCTCTGCCTGGCGCCCTGCCTACACTACTTACGTATCCTTCTACAACCATATTCACGTTAGAGGCTCACTTTGACTTTGGAGACCAATGTACACAACATCTACTCCACGACTGACCTTCTTCATGCATCAGGTACGTATCTCGTCTCCTCCTTCTCTCTATCTCTTTTTCTCCATCTCTGTCCCTCTATGTGTATGTGTCTCTTTCTGTGTGTTTCACTGTGTGTGTCATAGTGCACTGTGTGTCTCACAATGTTTCTGTCTGTGTGTGTGTTCCACGGTGCATGTGTGTGTTTCACTGAGTATGTATGCTTGTGTGTCTCTGTGTTTTTCACAGTGTCTGTGTTCGTTCGTCCATCTCTGTTCTTCTTCTTCTTCTACCTCGTTGATGTTGTTGACTGTCAACAGAGCCCACAGCAGGTGAAACCCCTGAGACAGAGGACGATAGCTTCCATAACCGACAATCTAAACGCAGAGGAATCGCAACACGTCACTATGTGCAGCATACCGGGACCATACCATGCAGGATACGATAGGCACGAGTGTGCACTCCAACAAGTCGGGCGGACGAAAGGCCCATCCTCACGACGCTATCGGCGTAGGCATCACACATCCTGCAAGTCTCCACCCTCTGTGTAACCGGTTGAACGCCGTGAACGCGCGTTCACGTTCAAACGCGCGCGTTCAATCCCCCGTGCCCCGCGTTCAATCGCGTTTAAATGCGCTGCGAGCGCGCGCGTAAAAAAATTGAACGTGGTCCCGCGGGGCGCGCGCGCGCGACTGGGGCAGCGGGTTGGTGGTCCGAGTTCAACAAACCACCAAAGTGCGAAAACCGCCCCCCGGGACCACCACATACACCCCCCCCCACCCGCGGTCCCTGCCCCCGAAACCACCACCTGCCAAGCCCCGACTCCCCTACCCCCACCCAACGGAGGGCCACCCACCCTCGGGGACGTTTTTTGTTTTTTTTTTCCCCAGCCCACAGTTACAACCCCCCAAACCACGCCACCCATTTACACACACACACACTCACACACACACACACATACACACACGCACATGCACACACAAATTCACACCGTCGCACACACACGG